ATCCCAACCATCCCCAGTACCATCAGGGGGTGCTTTGCTTCGTCCCTTCCTTCGGGGCGCAAGTGGATTTGATATGACAGGGGCGGGCGAACTTCCTTCGGGACCGGCACCCCAGACACGACTAATGTCCCTGCACCCCAGACACGACTCAGACACGAGCGGCATATTTACATACATTATCATACATTGGGGTGGTTGAAAAGGGGTCAATGTAGGTAAATATGCCAGTCAATGGTTTAGGGTTTAGGGTCACACTCAGCTGGTAGAGAAGATCTCTTTGGTTGGCCTATTCTGGAAGTATGAAGAGTCGGTGATGACTTTAGACTTTAGACATGACAATACATGAACACGTGTCCTGCAAGTGGGTCCGCCAACTCCTTTCTCATTCTAAATTCTAAATTTTGTACAATACAATGCAATTGCCAATTGACTTTTGAGTTGCTGATTATCTGATAGGAAGACACAAAACATGTTTTGGCTCCAAATCAGGGTCAAACAGGTTGTAGGTACGTATGTATACGATTGTATACGCAATCCTTTGCCTTATACATCCTTATACCATTTTATACCCTTCCAGTTTCAACTGTTCAAAGAAATGCAACACAGAGGGTTGTTCGATGTGCTGGGCCTTTTTGTGGCCTTTTTGTTGGGGAAAAACAACACTGGTCTATGCTCGAATAGCAGGAGTCACTGGTGAGAACCTGGTGGATCATGGATGCCGCAACTCGTTGCAAGAATAACTCGATCGACCACAAACCACTGATTTCGCTGGCTCACGCGTCGCTCAAGCCCGCGACGAGACGAATGAGTCTGAATGCCGTCAGAACTGGAAGGACATCTGGAAGGACAAAGAAGGACAAAGAATCACAAAGAACTGGATGCTCGCCTTCTCGAAGATCTTCGCCAGATGAGCACATATTGCTATAGCAGATGCCAATCATGGATCTTGAGAATCATGACCTGGCGACAGTTGGATGACTCGACCCATGCGCCAAGAGCACTAGATCCGACTTCATCCAACAAACAAGAGAAAAGACTGCAACATACCATGCAGTATCGACACGGCACCCTTGTATCCTTCCTGTGGGGGTAGTCCAACCCACTGATGGACTTGTAGACATCGTAGACCCATGCGACGGCGTATTCCTCCCACTCACTCTCACATCCATCGGACAAGTCATACAAGTGCATGAGGCTTTGGGAACAAGAGCATACACCAGTACCACAGCACCACCGTTGGCTCGGGTGCTTGATTGAGCCAGGCATGAAAAACACCACCCAGGTGTTCTCCATCCCCGTCAACAGACAGGGAGGTTGTCCATCGGTTGTGCAGACCCCACTTAGTTGCTGGCTTGAGCTTTGCCCACTTGCCCATCAAACGGACCTCCCGCCACACGTTGGAGTGCGCCCGCGCATGGGCAAGCGCGGCAAGCGGGCTCCGCCCGCCCGAGAAGCCGCTCAAGCGTTTTGGGCCTGTGCCGCTCGAAAGCTGCAGGGGAACGGCCTGCGCCGTCCGAAGGAGGAGTCGGTTGGCTTCGGTTCGGAGTAATTACAAAGGCGCCGACTGTTGAGGTTTCCCTTCTTATGCGGTGAGCGTGGCGTGCAGCGGGGCGTGCGGGGCCACATCGAGACTGATAATTATTCTTAAACATGTCCTCTACTTGTGGTAGGTGAAGACATTACATAGCATCAGCATGAGCCCTGAGTCTTACTCCCCTATCAAGAATCAAGCAACATGTTCTCAGAGTCCCTGGTCCAGCATCTGTGCATGTCGGTATCCTCAAATCAAGTAAATGAATGAATTAGGTTGTTGCTCGGGTGACGAGGTGATGAAGGTAGCCTCACCTCCCCTTGCAGCTTCGGATTCCAAAGATCTCCAGCTTTCGAAGGTGCCCTCGCCATGCTTCACCCTTCCCTCAAACCATCTCAAACCAGACTCCCTGGAGTTGAACATGCTGAGGTGGATGGCATGGCTCCTTTCGTTCGGCTGATCATGTTCCGAATACCAAACAGGGAGTGAACACTTCCATGTAAGCTCCAGGCAGAGTTGTCCGCAATCCACCTTCTGAGGTGTCTAAAAAGGCCAGCCTCCTTGGCTTGGCTTCTGTTTCATGTTTCCCCATCCACATCCATGGCGCCAGCATCACCTGACGGATGGATCACCCCTCACCTCCTTCACCTGACATCTGGGGACAGAGCAATGGAAGTCAGATCAAGTGTGGTAGGAAGGAGCTCCGGAGTTCTCACGGACTATCTGCTATGAGGAACTGTTTGCTTAAGGCTTGTAAAGCTCTTAGGATTTGGGTCTTGGGACCAGTTTTGGATGTCGATGATGTCGATGGGTCCATGGGTTGTCGATTTGAAGATGGGGGACAGACCGAATTCACTGGAAAGGGACCAAAACGCCGCAGGTGTCAACTTGGCGGGTCGCACGTGAAAACGGTGTTTCAAACAGGGGCGGAGTCCTAAGCTTGGGAGCCAAATAGAAGCAGATAATGCTAAATGACTGAAACATATTTGTAATAACCTTTAATGTTAGTTATTTTTATTGGTTTGGACTGATAGATCCTATACTAAACATGCTAATATTAAATATTATACAACCTTGCCTTTACTGTTAACTATTGGTGTTGGTTTGGACTGATAGATCCTATGCTAAATATGCTAATTCTAAGCTACTTAGCTCTAACCCATGACATGACTCACATTTCATGGCCTGACTCATCATACTCATCACATGTCATAGACCATCAGATCATCACGCCTTTAGAGTCAGACTGATCCCGAAGGCCAAGGAACCCGGACCTTTCTGGACCTTTCTGGTCGCAGACCGACTATGATTGGTGAATCCCAAGAAAAGCAGGTTTGTGGAAGCCAATATTAAACCCAAGAAGAAAACCGACTCGTCGTTGTTCCCAAACACACACACACAGCACACCAAGACACACACGTCTTGCCGCTCATGTACGCCACAGAAGCACCATGTGCGCCACCAGTCGCTCCCTCAGGTGCTGCACCGCTTGGACGACGCGCAGGAAACGCCGCGCCTGGCGCCGTTGCCGGAGCGCTTCGACTCACCGGGCACCTACTACGCGCGTGGCCTGGAGCCGAGGTCGCGGAGAGGTCGGGCGGACGGTAGGAGAGAGAGACAGAAAGACTCAGAAACATGGAGAATCCGTGGGTTTTTTGGAAGAAACCTAAAGAAATGTTCGGGGGTAATGAGTCTGCAGCAAGTGTACATAGGATAGACAACATACTGCCAGTTATTTGTCATTTGATTTCCAAGTTTTCTGACCGTACGAAGAGCCTCAAATGACATGGTATGCTTGAGTTGAAAGGAACCTGCCCACACAACGGTGGGTTTTGAGATTGTACATGGGGGGGGGTGTCTATAAGACAATTCTTTCTTCAAACAAACTCAAGAAGCTGAACTGAAATCCCATGAAATCTCAGCACCTCTTTCTTTGCAAACAACACTATAGAGAAAAGGAGACTTGGTCGACTCAGTGAATCGACTCGGGAAGGCACATCTGTATACAATCCACAGATCGTGGCCGACTTAGGCCATCCAAGAGAGGTTAAGTGACCTTATAGGACCCATGTGGGGTACCTATGAGACAGTCTGTAGGGTTCTTCAACCTCTGTTGGAGAAGGGAGGGCCCAAGACCAGCAGCCAAGACCGGCGGTGACCTGAAGGAATGGGCACACCAGCGACCAGCATGAAACACCAAGAGCACAAGAAACACCAACCACAAACATGTTCCATTTATGTAGGATATATATTGCCAGAGTTTACTCATAGATGACAGAGTGGAAGATGATTGCCGTTGCGTAACTCTCAAGGATTCTAGCAGGCGGCCATGGAAGTGCAGGTGGCTGTTGTCGCCTGTGCTTTCTCGATCGGTTGGGTCGTTAGGTCGACCTGGAAAGAGGTAGCCCCTCTTTGTCCTCCGTGCCACTGCCATTGCACATTCGAGGTTCCCGGAAATCAACAGGGCTTTGCTTTAGTTTTTGGCATAGCTATCCTGGTTTGTGCAGTGCTGGTGTCCCTTGCCTGGTTTGCTGCAAAAGGCTTTGAGCAGCGACGTGCGGGAGGTGGATCACCAAAAGGTGGAAAGGGGGTGCAAGGCTTGTCGAGTCGGCTTATGCAGCTTACACAATGATAGCTGGAGGAATGGCTCTGGTGAACTATGGGGAGCCAGGTCCTGTCTGGCATTGTCGAGCATTGCTCGCCCACGCTGGCGCTTCGGACTGGGCAATTTTGACCCCAGACCATGATGTTTACATTGAGACTCTTTCAGCTGCAAACACTGATTTTACAGGTTTTGTTTATTGTGGAGAGAATGGGGCGATTCCAGGACATATCAATCCGGCCCATGTCTACGGCTTCGATCCTCTGACCCCTCAGGAGTTGGGCACCTTTCGAATGCAGGGTCAGGTTTTGGCCAATGCTCACATGGCAGCCGCCGGAATCCACGTGCCTCCAGCTGCTGCTGCAGCACCAGTTGCTGCACCAGCACCCGCAGCACCCCTTCCAGGAGCTTTGGGAGCTGTTGCAGCTGCTCCGGCTGCACCTGTTGGAGTGGCTGGCGCCGCTGTTGGGGCGGTGGTTGAACGGGTCGACACGTGGATAGCATTGGAGGAGGCTGGACCCTACAAGAAAGGAGATGTGGTCGCTAGAGACCCAACAGCCCTTCCTGCTGGATCCGTCCAAGTGGGAGACAGAGGTGTGGTGCCTGCAGGAGCTGGGAGCATCTTGGTGAAGAAGGTGAAGCCCTCGGAAGCTGCATCTTACAGGATGGAGGATCTTCGGGTGCTCCCAGTCAAATTTGATGCTCAGGGCATTCGTCGACAAGAATTTCCAGCAGCAGTGTCATTGATGGATGATGCAGAGCCTTCCGGAGGTGGGCTCCAGTTGACTGGGCCCCCCAACGGCTCTCAAGATCTTGAAAGACCTCCGGGATCAGGCCTTTACGCCTAGCACATTCCACGAGCACTGGATGCAGAGCTCGGACATCCCCAAAGGAGATCGATCGACGTACGAGCATGAATGCCTGTCGAGGATCTTGGAGAGCATGGTGATGGTCGATCAGTTGAATGCCCCAGCCCTTCAGTCAGCCGAGTTGGTGTGCCGTCGACTGCAGGTTATCAGGGAGGCCCATCGTATTTCACCTGGACAGCCTGATTACAGTGCATCAGATGTGATGATGGGTTGGAAGTATCGACGAAGTGGACAAGGCATCGACTCTACATTGGCTGCACATGTGGCAAATGAGTTGAAGGCAGAGGCCGCCATCGCAAAGGAGGCCAGGAAAGCTCGAGAAGAACAGGCAGCCCGCCGCAAAGGTCGCGCGCCCAAGAAAGGAGCGGCCGAAGGCGGGGGAGAAGGATGAGCATCTATGAAGCTGGCAGTGGTTGGGCCGGAGCTGCCAGTTCAGGAGTTGAGGCCCACTGCATGAGCACAGAGAATTCAAAACTACATGGAGAGGCGCTGGGTCATGATGACCGGTGGAGAGAGCTCTTTCCTTTGCCCCTGTGCCCAGAGGTTCCGAGGAAGGCCGGACTGTCAGTGAGTGCGCGTCGTCGTCGAGCGACTGTTCGATCTAGAGTGGAATCTGTTAATTCAATCATCAAGACCTTGAATGAGATGTACTCTCCTAGCCGTGATGGTGATTTTTCTTCAAGTTTCGTGAGGACTAGAGCACAAGAGGCATGTCAACACGAGCTTTTTAGGGCGGTGGCCAACACAAAACCACCTTCAAAAGTTTTGAGCATGCGTGAAGCTGTCCAAGAATCCAAGAGCTTCTGCGAACAGACCTGTCCTATTCGGGCGAGGTTGCAACTACGGTGCGTCCCTATGACAGAGGCCTGCTTTCGATTCCGTCGTGTGGCAACCAAGCTGTTGTCTTAGACGACGTGTTGGATGATGTTGGCTGTGAGACAATCAGGGACCCTCACCGCTGTATGTTGTTGGACGAAGAGGAGATTGGGGTGATGATGGAACAGAATAAGCCTGTTGACATTTACATGGATCCATTGTTGAAGAACAACATGGGCATGTATTGTAATTTTGTGCATGATCTTTTTGAAGCCGGCATGTTGGATTTCACAGTTAGGCCTCGTGGACTTGTGACCCCCTTTTTTGTGGCAAAGAAGTCTGGAAAGCTGCGATTGATCTTGGATTGCAGGGAGACGAACAGACTCTTCAGAAGGCCGCCGGTCTTAGCTGCAGGGACGGGAGCGTCGTGGTCACAGATAAGAATTCCAGATGGTGAACAACTATACGTTGCACAATCAGATATTAAAGATTATTTCTACAGCTTGCAGTTGCCTTCTGAGCTTCGCACTCTGTTTTGTTTACCGCCCATCCCTGGTGCCCTACTTCGACATTGGAAGGTAAATGCCGAACATTGTGGCTCCCTGGACACGGACGACTGGGTACACCCTATGTTGCGAGTGGTGCCCATGGGATGGTCGTGGGCAATGTGGCTTTCACAGAGGGTGCATCAGCATCAGTCGCAGTTGGGGGGCAGGGGTCTCGCCTGATAGAGTTTTGGTGGATGGAAAACCGGCGCCACGGCTCGAAAATGGCGAGGTACTTCTGCTGCCTTATGCGGACAACCTGAATGTCTGTGGCATCAACGCAGAGGCTGTTCAGAGGGCGAAAGACGGGGCAGTTGCAAGGCTGAGACAGGTTGGACTGACGGTGCATGAGGAGATGGACGCTAACAACATTTCCCAATCTTTGGGGTACATGATCGATGGATCTGTCGGCCAGGTGACCCCTATTCCAGATCGACTACATCGAGTACAGTTGGCCTTCAAATGGCTGTCTCGGAGGCCCCGAGTTACGGGAAAAGCAGTGCAGCGATTGTTGGGCCATGCAGTGCATTTCATGATGTTGAAGAGGGAGTTGTTGAGCATTCCAAGACATTTGTACGCATTTGTTCAACAAGCAAATGGGCGATGCAGGCTGTGGTGCAGCGCGGCAGTTGAAGCTAGATGGATTGGCGAACTTTTGCCACTCTGTGCAACGGACCTGAGAAAACAGACAAGTGCATTGCTTTCAGCTTCGGACGCTTCGTTGTCGGGAATTGCAGTGTGCACTAGAACGCTAGATGAGCAAACAGTTAGGGCAATTGGTAGTTACAGGGAACGATGGCGCTTCAAGGGCCGTAATCCGGCAAATCGACCACGACAGACTGCTCTGGAGGGACTAGACCCGTTTGTCGATGTTGCTAGTGTCAAACCTGTTGGACCTGTCGTTGAGGACCCTTTTGAACTGGACAACCAATTCCCAGATGTTCCAAAGGCCCTTTTGGACAATACTGATTGGTCACTTCGTTTCTCCCAACGCATGGTGTACAGTGAACATATCACATTGTTGGAGGGAAGAGGCATTGTTGCTTCCCTACGACACAAATTCCGGAGCACGGGGCAATTTCACCAGCATCATGTGCACTTGTCAGACAACCTTGGCATGGTTTTGGCTGTTGACAAGGGTAGAAGCTCATCCCCGCAACTGATGGGGGTGTGTAGACGTTTAGCATGCCTTCTCATCTGCACAGGCTCCAGTCTGACTTGTCGCTGGATCCCCAGTGAGTTGAACATTGCTGATGCCGGCTCTAGGCGCTGGGAACATCTCCGGACAGGGAAAACTCCTCCCAGTGGCAGTGCCCTGCAAAAGCAAGCAAAAGAGGAAGCCAGTACAAGTTGGTTTGAGCAGCAGACAAGCATTGCGCAGTCAGTTGCAGGGGAACAACAAAGAAGAGAGAGCAGAAAAGAGACAGATCTACAAGCAAGCCGTGAGCAAAATTCCTCGTTTTCAGGGTCAGACCTTTCTGGAGATGAACGCCATTTCAGAGGAGGTGGCCTCCGATTACAGAATTCGGATGAGCAGGTTCAGGGCATATGCCAAGCTGGAACAGATCTCTCTCCGAGGTCAAAAGAACTTGGACAGTGCCTTGAGCGCCTATCTCAACGAGATGTTCGAGGACGGAGAAGACATTGGGGAGGCTACAAAGACCCTGGCTGCAGTGGTAGACAGCGTCCGCGAATGCACCCAGAAGGGCAGCCTCCCGCGCTGCCGGAGGAGCTGGCAAGGATGGAACAGACTGGACCCAGGGGCCACAAGGCCGCCAATACCCTGGGAGTTGGTCGCAGCCATTGTGAATTACATGCTGGCAAGACAACAGATCAACGAAGGTCTTCTGGTGCTGCTGATGTTCGATGCCTATCTCCGACCAGGGGAGGCAATCAGCCTTCATCGACAAGATTTGGTGGAGCCTACAGTGCAGCATCCAGTGTTTTGCCTCAACCTGAATCCTTCCGAAAGGGGCGCAAGCTCAAAGATGGGGCTGTCGGACGAGACCATAGTCCTGGACGGAAAGGAGACACCATGGATGGGGCTGCTGCTCAGGAGACACCTGGAGACCCACAAGTCACAAAAGTTATTTCCAATAGAGTATCGGCAACTAAAAGACGCCTGGCAGAAGGCTCTGGTTGGTGTGCAGCTGTCGAACAAGCATTGTGTGTTGTATCAGTTGAGGCACTCGGGACCATCCCACGACCGGATGACAAAGGCAAGGAGCCTTGTGGAGATCAAGAAGCGTGGCAGGTGGTTGAGCGACTCTTCCGTTCGGCGCTACGAGGCGGCTGCACGCCTCAACCAGGAGTTTCAGAAGTTGCCAAGAGCAGTACAGACAAAGGCTTTAGCCGCGCCACAACTTCTGCAGCAGTGGGTCCAAAAGTTTTTCTCCCAGAACAGAAAAAGGACCTAGGCAAATGGGTGTTGGAGGTTTTTAGCGGTACAGCACACCTTAGCAAAGCAATGGTGCGACAGGGGTTCCGTTGTGCAGCATGGGACATTGACTATGGACCTAGTTGCGACGTGTTGCAAAGCAAAGTGTTGAGAAGCCTTTTGAGTTTTATTTCTACACATGAAGTGGTGCTCGTTTGGTTTGGCATGCCATGTCAAAGTTGGACAAGAGCCAGGCGATGGGACGGTGGTCCCCCGCCACTCAGAGATGACTCAACCTTCCTCTGGGGACGCAATGGTCTGACACAAGCAGATGTTACTAAGGTGAGGCTGGGCAACATTCTGTTGCTTTGGACTGTTGTTTTTGCCACCCTCTGTGATATTTTGAGCATCGCATATGTGATAGAGAACCCGGGCAGTTCTAGATGTTGGTTGACACGACCTATGCAGTTCCTTTTGCACAAGGCCTCCCTGGACTTTGTTGACTACTGCCAATATGGGGTCCCCTGGAGGAAGAACACAGGTTTCCTCCATGCTGGCATCCCCAATTTGGCTGGGAAGCTGAAGCTGTGCACCGTTGTGAACGGTAGATGTAGTGCAAACCACAGAAGACACATCATTCTGTCGGGGAAAGATAGCAATGGCATTTATTGGACACACAGGGCCCAGCCCTACCCTCCCTTGCTTTGTCACCACCTTTCACTTCACGTGGCCAGTACACTATAGTGGAATTTTGGGAGGTGTGATGCTGCTTTCGATTTGAGAAACTTCATCGAGGAGCAGTTCGGTTGGCAGACAGTTGATCATCCATTGGCCCTAAAGGGGCTCTTGCACCGATCGAAAATGGGCCGAAGGAATGCTGGCAGATGATGGAACGGTTTCATATATATAATATATGGATATGGATATTGGAGATATATGAATATTGGATATATAGGATATATATGGATATATAAACATCTTCCCTATATTTATTATAGGGATCTTGGAGACCATTTATGTAGACCGGGAGGGCCCAAATACTGAGAAGGTATGTGGATCCGGGCATGGAACATGAAGGGAGAAAGCCTGTGCCTCGCAACATCACTCGCAACATCACCTCCCTTCTTCATGGACAGAATCATGGACGCTTCGATCCCTGCACGTGATCAGTCATGAAGTATCATCCATGGACTTTCTTCATGACCTTAAAGGCCTTTCTTGTAGTTCAGCAAGTTGTACACCTGACTCATACGGCTCGCTTTTCTCACACGACTCGCTTTTCTCTCCCAACTCCCAAGCCACCAAGAGATTGTTAACTGACCTTCCAGGACCCGAAAAATCCTCTGTTAGCGGTACCCAACTGGGTCCTTCAAATCCTCTGTTAGCGCCATCCGCTCTGAGGCTTCCTTGCTCTCATCCTCTCCGAAGCGCGCGCCTCGGCCAGCAACGCCTGGTGGAGCGGCGGAAGCCGCGCGCGGGGCAGCCGCTGGGGCAAGGGCAGCGTCTCTGGACTCGCCTGGAGCACGGTGAAGAAGGCGACCATGAGTGGAGTCGAAGGGAGCTGGTGTGGTAGGATGAGTGGTAGGATGGTTGGTAGTAGAGGTATCAGCTGAGTTGAGTGTTTGAGTTTGCTGGTTTGTGGATGGGGAAAGGGATTTCGCAAGGATGAGCAGGCTGAACAAAGCCTTGGCTCTCAGATTTTGTGGGGCTCCTGAGTGCTAGTTGAGTGCATCCTGTGTGATCAGGTGGCCAAGGAGCGCGGAGTGAATCAGAAGCTGCTGAGTTTGAAGGTGAACGTGCCGGAAGCCCGACCTGAATGGCGTGGCTGCCCAGATCTGAGGAGAGCGACATCTATATATGACCCCAAGGGTCCAGGACCACCAAAAGAATCCAAAAGACCATTCTTTGGAAATACTTTCACTTCCAATACCATCCTCAAGGGGTACTTGGACCCAATGGGTGATGTACTTTCGAAAAAGCCATGAGCCAGCACTGCAACGCCGTGCACGAGGCTCGCGAACTCTCGTTCGTGCAGTCAGTGATAATAGTTTCAAAACAAGAAAAACGTTGGCTCATTCGTTGGCTTTGTCTTGGACTCCCATGTTGAACTGTTGGTTGTTCCAAACACGCAGAGCGTCGTCCTCCACTCAGCGGACCGAAGAACGGGCGGGAAACGGATCCAAGCGGGAACTGGAACGTGACTGAGTGGATGAAGTGGATGTCACACATCCAACATGTATGCAGTGCAGTGCATGCCACTAAATGGTTGGACATCAATGAGTTTTTGGAATATCTGGAAAAGCCATGGTACAGTAGGGTTGACGCCATTTAGAAGTCAATTACTTCTGTTCATTTCTTCAGTCAAGGTCCCGGGTGTTTGACCCAGAACCTGTCACAGGTCATTGCATCCTCCTTCACAAAAAGGTTCTGAGGATGTGGTTGGAGCCCTGGGGCCTAGGGTTGGAGCCCTGGGGCCTAGCCTTGGAGCCCTGGGGCCTAGGGATTAATGCCAAATTGTTGTCTTCTAAGTCCATGTCACAAGACGGGGTGGTGTTTGGTCCCATCCAGTGAGTGGATGTGACAGGGGCACCCCGACTTCCTCCAAGTTCGCCACCCCTTTGTGACTCCATGTCCATGCTCCCTATTCATGATGATTTCTCAAGGCTCCAACTATCTCCCTTTCGTTCGGTGAGTGGGGTGGGTGCCACCAAGGTTCAGTACCAAACTTCTGAGGATGTGGCTGGAACCCTACAAATATAGGTCTCCAAAAGCTTGTTTCTGATTTGTTTTTGACTGCGATGTTGTTCACTGATTGAACCATTTTTCTTTGGGGCGCCCGTTTGGTGAAGCAGCCGGGAACCCCGGGTTTTCACCCGGGTTCCCATCCACCGGTGAAGCTACAGATCCATGCCGGTGACGATCACTCCGCCGGGGTTGTCTGACAGACAACCAGCCTGACCTTCTTGCCACTTCGCTCACCAACACACCTGACCAACTTGCTCTTCCACCTGGACTCCATTCCTGGATCCACTGCCACCTTTTGAGAGCGCCAAGAGGTTGGTCGGGTCCAGTCATACCGAACGGTTTCAAAGGTGGTCAGTGACGGTCAGTGGATCCGAACACAATTCTGGGAGCCTTTTTCCTCCGGACAGAGATTTTTTTATTGCTCCTTCATCACCGGACTTCGATTCATCGCCTGCAAGGCCCACCTTTCGCACCGCTTGGCTCTTCGAACTGCGCCTGCCGCGGCTCCCAGAGAAGGCGGCGCTCTTCTTCGTGGAGCGCGCGGCGCCCGGCCGCCAGGAGCCGCGGACGTGCGGACGTGCAGTTGCCTGATCTACCCCAGACACGACCCATGAGACTGCCATAGGACTGCCGATCAATTGACCCCCAAAATAACCACCCCAACTGATCGGCATATATGACAGACATGGAGTGTCTGGGTACGTGGCTGATTGGGTCTAGAAATTGAGAAGAATTGGCCATCTTAGGGAATGAGGGGAACAATATCGGAACAAAGATGAACAGAGCAGGCATGCTTCTGATCGTCGATCTGAATTTCATAACATAGCTCCGTGGTCACTCTAGGCTCCATGGTCAGTTTATGGAGCTATGAAATTCGGTAGCATTGTCTGACTGATTTTGATCGCCCGATCCACTCGGACCCATGAGTCGTGTCACCGCGCGCTGTGTCAATGCGCTGCGACGCGACTGAGCAGCTGCCAAGCGACTGCGGCAGGCGTTCAACCAAATGCATGTTCACCCTGGTCATGGAGCATTCCTGCCTGGTGTGTCTGTGTGTCTGTGTGTGTGGTGTGTGTGTGTGTGTGTTGTGTTGTGTTGTGTTGTGTTGTGTTGTGTTATGTGTCCCATTGCAGTCCAATGCCTAAACAAACAGCTCCTGGGATCCACTGCTACAAAGGAGACAGCGCTGATCTCATCAAGGAGTCTCAAATCTGCGAGGGTGGCAGTGGATCCATATTAGAGATCCAGAGTACATCCATTATAAACGTTTCTGTTTCTGTTTGGCATTGCTTTCTTGATATGTTTTTTTCTGTGTGTTTCTTCTTTGGGAAAAATCCAGACTTTCCAAGCCAAGCAAACACCCCAAGCAACACATGGTGCCTTCGAGACTGCTTTCCCGGGCGTGGGACCTTCCGAGAAGGACCTGCGTGTGGACCTGTGTGGCTTTCCTCCGGCCGCCTGGGGGGTGGAATGAGCAACGTGGTCCAAGCTGAGACGGAAGAAACCTGTTATTTTGGGATGGGTTTGGAGTCTTCTCACTATTATTTTATCTATTATTTGGATGGGTTTGGAGTCTTCTCACTATTACTATATCTATTATTTGGATGGGTTTGGAGCATCCCTATGTTTTGATTCAGTCTCCGAAACTGAACGAACAGATGGATTTGGATTTGGAGTCTTCGTATTTTTTCAGAATGCACCTACTGTAACCAGATCGGGCATAGGTTGGTGGATGCAACTGTGTTGGATTTGGAGTCCCTTCCCACCAGTTCGGTCGAATAGACGGGTCCCTTTAGAATTAATGGCACAGAAACCTGGCACAGCTAAAACATGGCACAGATGAGTCTTTCTTGGGGAAACATAAGCACCACTGGGCAGCCGAATCTGTGGATGTTGCTGTACCAAATCATGCATTGGCTCCCGTGAGAGTGTCCAGGAGCAATCAGTTATATATATATATATATATTTAGTTACATAGAACATTGACAACTTGACTAATAGGGCCCTCTGATGCCATTGTCGTGGGGTGCACGGTGTACTTGATCAATCGCAACCTGGCAAACATGGACGTGGAACAACTCCACCTGGTCCAAATGGTCAAGTCAATCCACGGACCATGAGGAACTCATGACCGATGGGTTGGGAGGTCCCAGGTAGATCCAATCCAATCGTGTTGACCGGAGACCATCGGAGCACTCCGTACGACCTCGGAAGCACTCCGTGGAGAACGCTGGTGGGCCAATGGTGTTTGTTGAGCAAACTCGTTCGGAAGACCATGGAATTGAGGATGAAGTAAATGAAATCCAAATACCAAGCAGCTGGTGCCATGGCCAGAAAACCGGAGACTTCTCCTTCATTCTCCACGGATTTCTTGGGAGTCGCTCAGCGATGTCTCAAGAATCGCCACGACTGGGACGTCAGAAAAAACGCCGAAGACTGCGCAGATTGATCAGTTCTGACTCGGGCTGGCCTGGCCTTCTGAGGATTTTTGCTTCGATGTTGGCTTTTGTTTTCACCGGAAGAGCTTCGGCTTGGTCTTTGGTTCAAACTCCGGCTTCTGGCTGGGAGAGTCTAGTCTAGCAGTATACAGTATACAGCGCGCTATACATTACAGCTATAGTAAGCTGTAGGTGACGTAGGGTTCTTTTCCATCTAAGGTGAGGACTTCTTCCAGCAAGAGTGTTCACTGTTCACCCCAACTGCTTTCTGTTCATTCCAGCCTTGTGATGCCTCGCATCGAGGCAAACGCCCTTCGGGTCGGCTATGGTGCCTGTAGAGCTTCGACCATTGGAGGACCGGCCAGCCCCGTTTTGCGGCGCAGACCGGGCGCAGACCTGATAGCATGACAAGGGCAAAGGACATTCTTTGGTGACTTTACTTACTGTATATATCTTACTTCATGGTAGGTTATGAGTGAGTGGGTTTGCACATGATGTTTCGATAGCATGAGCAACTGGTGTTTGATTGTGTTTGAACCGTGTGAGGAGCCAACAGCCTGGATGAGATAGGCTGAAACAGGTGCAAACCTTCCAGAATTATGTATCCCAACATCCATCAACTATGCGAGTTTGATCACCAGACTGGGCGACTAAACTGTGCTTGTGTTGGACACCCCTTGCGTGGTTTAAATAGATATATGAGATATCCGTACACAGGCTTTTGCATTTTAGCCTGAAGTCGGCATTAACGCGTTGAATATTGCGCTCCCCAAATAGATCATTCAAAAGTTCATGCACACAGCCCGCCGGGTAGAGGAGTCCTTTCTTTTCATCTTCCAAAGCCTCCAGAGCTACGTTTGTTTGGAAGGGATAGAATTAGATGACTTTGCAACCCAAATCCTGTAAGTATTGAGATCCTCTTACACATGACAAAACTATATGTCAGCCCTCAGGAAATCCCTTCTTTCCCACCTCATCCTGTATCTCTCATGATCACTGCTGAGGACTTGGTGCCTTTGCTGCGCATGTGGACCGCCTGTTTTCTGGCGCCTCAGGCGACGAACCGGTCAAGTTGAGTCAGAAGGTCTTTCTGTCATGAGGAATGTTTGTGTCACAATAGATCCATGAATTCGACCAGTGTGAAGTGGATGCGAATCTGGCCAATGGCCATTTGCAGGGAGGATTAGGATGTTTGGAAGAGAACATCTATCGATTTCTCGTTGAGCTTGACTTTCCCTCGGTTTGTTGGTGAAGTCAGTGGCCTTGGGTGAAGTTAGTGGCCTTGGCCCTTTGTTAGTTTGGACATGTTTGGATTGCAAGGTTTCAGAATGCAAGAAAAAAACAAGGAAAACGGTTGGCGGAATCCAATGTTTGGTAGAGTGTTCATGACTTGATTGTTTACTCCGTTGACTCTTTCTCCCCCCATGGGATGTTGGCTCCTTACCCCATTTGAGCTTGATTCACAGGTAGAGCTTGGGGATTCGACAGCCCAACCACCTTAACCTCCGTCTCCACGGGCTCGGTCTGGATTTGCTCCAGACTTGCCAGGTGCCCTTCCTGCATCAGCTGCTGGGAGCCAAGAGCGCCAGCCACCGAGTCTTCTCCGACTCGGAGGCCCCCCCCGCGGTGCGGCTCTGGGCGGAGCGGAGCTGGGCCTTTTGGGAGCGGGTCTTTTGGGGTGGAGAAGCGGCTCGAAGTGGCGGTGTTGGGTGTTTCTGGGGGATTTGGGATGGATTTTTTAGGGGAAGGTGTTGGATGAAGAACGAAAGAGGTGGAAAAGAGGCGCTTCACCTTTCTTTTCCAAGCACCACTGACTGAGGGAGTCAGCAATGGAGCGTGCAACTCACTGGAGACATTTGGAGACCATGATTCTATGGGAGGGTGAGTGAAACTGGAGTGCGGGACGCTATGCGGGTGTGTGTTTTGCGGTGTTTTTTGGGTGTTTTTTTAGTGAACAATATGTGATGTTCATAATTTTATACCAGAATCTCTATATTGTATGTCTTTAAAGATTCATAGTTTGAACACAAAATTTAAATATTTGATTTACTAGAAAATGATTTTCAAAACCAGAGGTTGACCCACATGTCAAGGCATTGGCAACAAAAAGAATAATACCAGGGTAGAAGGCTACAATGAGCTAAGGGCACTATGTCACTCACTCAAGGCCATAGGTATGAGCATTGAGATGTTCAAGCCTGACTCCAGACTCCATTTGGACAAATTGACAGCAGAGGAGAGGTGGCATCAGCAGGGTACACACTTTGAGGTCACAAACACATTGAAGGGAACCACAACTGCACAGTTACCACCAGGATTTGACATCACACAGCAGCCCATTTTGGTCTCAGTAGACCAAGGTGGTATAAACGGGGCTTTCCTTGATTATGTGCAATACAAAGTTGGAATCAGGATAGTTGTATTGGATAATTTCCAACACAGGCTTTGGCATGACATGAAGACTGCAATGAAAGTGGCAAAGGTGTTCTATTCTATGGAATGTGAACTATGGTCCCAAAGGGACCAAAGCTTTCTTTCAGAAGAAGCAGGCTGCTGCTCAAGAGCTTCTTATGAGTCCAACAGTGCCACCAGAATTCATGACACTTCTTCCATACATTGCACATGAACTTGGGCGAGATGAGCCAATGTTATGGCATTGTCAAGCTTTTCAGGAGGATCAAGGAAATGACAAGTCTACAGGTTCTAGGACCATATGTGAAGCTCATGAAATCTATGAAGGAGAGAATTGGCTGTCCAAGTTTGTAATGAACTCCACAGGTACTGCTGCCACTTCCACTTCCACTGATGATATTCAGCTACCACCAAACCTTTCACCCCAAGAAGAGCTGAAACAATTGAAAATCAAGTTTGGGTCCTGGAGTTTGGCGCCCCAACTGGTGACCACCCAAAGCAGCTATCAGAAGGACTTGGTTGCGGAGATGGTGAGACCTCTTTGGACTGCAAACAGCTTCATGTCCCAGCATGCCAGGTCACCAAGGGAATTTCAGGAGTTTGTCATGGGGATGGCTTCTGGTGATTGGCAGGTCCAGTTGCAAGACCTAGTTGTCCATGGTTTCTTTGATGTCCCCACCATGAAAAAGCTTTATGGTGGCACTGAAGTGGGCACTGCAGAGAACTTGGCAATCCACCATGCACTGCTTTTTGAATATGAGAGCAATCTCTTTGACAGGCACCTTTTTGAGGCCACCAATGAGATATGCATGCCTTTGCAGGGAGGACAAAGCTGACACAACAAGCAGGCAAATGCAAGCCGAATGGGAAACTATTTTGGAAGCAGAAAGAGTGATGGCAAATGGCATGGAGGTCAGGCCCATAGAGCTTAGCTGTGTTGCTAGGACATCTTTGCAAAGGCTGTTCTACTTGACCAATGAGCTAGACATCCTCCAGCACAAACAAGGCACCAACAGAGTAGCTGCAACACTGGCAAAGACAGCTTGCCAACATCCTGGCAACACTGTGATCATAGAAAACTCTCACCAAAAGGCAAAAGACATGCTGAGAGAGGCACGCCGCAACCAGACTAGCAGGGCACACAAGTACCACAGTGTCTTGACCTCAAATGTCTTGTCTGGAATCTAGACCCCCCCCCCACATCACTGTTAGCAACAGTGAAAAAGCCCAGTCTTCAGCTGACAAATCCAAAGCGCGGAAAGTTGTTGCCTTCACAAACCCAAACAGCCACACTGAGTTCCAGAACCTCATGCAGTTCAAAACCAAGTCTTTCACTTTCACCTGGCCCAGCACCTCCATGAGAGCATCTTCAATGAAGTTGCATCCTTGCAGTTTCTGCAGGAAGGGCAGCATGATATGAAGAAGGAGAGGTTTGAGGTTGCAACTTTGTATTGTTTGGTGGGCAAACCTGGGGACATTCTGGCTTGCAGAAGCTTGGGAAGGGTGATGATGGTGGTGGCAGTAGGTTCATACAGCTTCCTGGGTTGGGAGATGCAGGTGGTTGGTGAGGCTGCAGGACCTTTGACCTTTCAAGCATGCAAGGAAGCAAGTGCAGTACAGTGGCATTACATGACAGTTCTACTTCAGGTGGTGAGTGCGTCAAGGAATAACAGGTCTTCGTTTTGCTGATTGTGTGATGTGAACACGTTCCCTATAGAAGTGGGGAAAAGTATTTTTGTTTTTGTCTTTCCCGGTTCCTGGACAACAAGAAACCAACTCCTCACTGCCCTCACCTCTCACACATAGCTCTTCCATGCTCTTCAGGATGACGCGGCGACCGCGGACGCCGCCGCGGATGCGACCGCGGACGCTGCCGCGGACGCGACGGCGGACGAGTCAGCGGAGTCGGCGGAGTCAGCGGAGTCGGATGGGATGAGCCACTCGGCAGCACCTGGCACATGAGACCCGAGACGTGCGCTGTTGTTGATGATGCAGATGTTGCTGTTGCTGTTGGTGGTGGTTATGCTTGGTGCTTGGTGGTGGTGGTTGCTCCACCGAACATTCATGAACAGAATAAAACAAAAACTACCCGGGAGGTGAACCTACCAGGGTCAACCGGGCAACCCGGGTGAACAGACCCACACTCACATGACCAAAGTCCTCATGGCTCGGCCAAAATCACGAGGTCGGCTCGCTGGCCGCTTCAGACAGCGAGACATGTCGCGAGACCATGGAGAAGCTGGCAGGTAGCTATTTTGGTGGTACCACCAGAAAAAAAACAACTCAATGTATCAACCTGGTGCGTGATTGTTGTTTTTGCTGTCAGAAATCAATCCAAGTTGTAAAAACACACTTGGAAAAAATAGACCATTTGGTTCCGCATTCAGTGCCAGCCTGACTGTCACAGTGACCATGGGTGACCATCAATAGTCAAAACGACCAGTTCACCGAACTCACGAAGTTCACGAGGCCCTTCCTTGGACTCTTTGAACTTGCTACAGAAGGAGGCCGTGACGAAGATCCTCTCAGACACTCGGTGGATGGATTCAACGGAAGATCGTTGGGACGGCACCCGGATGTCGTTCAGAACGGGCGAGGAACGGAAGCTACACATTCGGTATGCTTTCATGCTTTCATACGCCTTCGAAACGAAGGTACGAGCTGGCTGGCACAAAAACACCAAGCTATCAGTTTCTCAGACAGAGGGCAGTGGATCCATGAATATCCATTAGACGCATTAGATATCCATTAAACGCTCAAAAAACAAAAACTGTTCTGTTCTAGTGAGAGGTCATTGGTCATTAGGTTTCTTCGACGACTTCCAATATATCATAATATGTGTTTTCATACCGAGTTCTGGTAGGTGTCTGGTTGTTTGGCATTTCCAGCCACGGAATTGTAGCCTTGTTCCTCTTGAAATTGCCTCTTCCCAGGTATCCAACCCAAGACCCCTTGTTTTAAGATGCATCATTAGTGGAAGTCCATCAGTTTTCCGTACAAATTATTTGGAGCACCAGTGGCAAAACAGTGTGGGGAACCCTGTGGTTCGGTCCATTTACAGACGGGTGTCCTACAAAATATTGAGGGAACCCCTGAAAGTCATCATGTGTGGTTGGAAATCAGAGCAGGTTTTGAGTTCAGACACCTGTCGAGACATTCCCACTTGATTGTAGATGAATCAAAAGGTAAGACCCCAGGATAGCTTAGGGGCTATGTCAGAGATCCCAACCTGATAGTTCCTGACAGAAAAAGACACATTGACAGGGACTGAGGCACAAAATTCATGTTGAACGCCTGCCTACCCGATTTTTCTTCAAGGTGCGTGAAGAAGCAATACTTTTCCAGCTGAACCCGGATGCTGTTTACGCCCAGGGTGGCCTTCTACGTCGCTGCCATTTGCTACAAGGCCCCCCGGGCACTGGAAAGACTCGCGCGGTGGTAGCACTTCTACAGTTGCTTGGCGACTGGAAGTCCGTCTGGGTTATCTCACAGTCCGTCTGAGAGGCCATCGCGGTCGTAGGTTGCAGGCCATCGCTATTAGGTTTAGGGCTCTCAGATCGAAGGTGTTGGGACGATGTTTTTCTTGGTATGTTTTGGGTCGAGCAGGGTGCGAGAAACCTCGGAAAAATGTACCAAGTGCCCAACCGAACTGACTGAACTACTGGGGACACCCTACTCAACAAGAAGAGGGGCAGGTCTCAGGTCAAGTTCGTAACCGGTTCACCTTTCTTTTGCTCAGGGAAACTGAGAGTCAGGAAATCTTCGCCTCATATTAGAGGGATCGGACCCTCGTATGGAGGGTCTGGGGTCTCAACTCCCTAGGTTCTGAGGGACCAAAGGGCTGTTTGGAGCGTCTGGGGAGTTAGAACTTCTAAGAAGTCGGCACCTCGAGAAAGTCACGAAGCTGCTTGGTTTGAATCAGTTTTTGTCCATACATAATGTAGACTCTTGATGAATCAACCCACAAACCTTTGCATGGGTTGGTTAATAATCAAGAGCCGACATTAGTGGTGATTGAGTGAATGAAGCTTGGCTGACTGGGGGTTGACTGAACATCAGTCGAAGGTCGTTCACATTAAAGTGTGATGTTTAATGCCTTGTGCTTCGAAAGGTACTTTTTTCTCAGAGAAAGTCCCAAATTGAAGCAGAACTGTAGGTGGTCCGTTCAAATCACGCTAAGTCTGAGTGCTAAAGTAGGGAGAAGAGCAGCAGAATTGATTGAAGGAGGTCACCAACAGTGGGGGTCACTTTGAAAGAGGTTCTTATATTAAATTGGGTTTAGATGTTGCTTTGGGAACAAATCGTTGTTATCACCCATGCTCACCTCACCACCCCACCTCACCAGCTTTCTGTAAGAGATCGATCGTAGAGTTCCTCAGTTCTTTATAAGCTCTGAAACAGAACCCCAAGCCTCATTTCTTGCAGAACCTCCAGCCCCCAGCCCTCCTCCCCCAAAGTCCGGATGTCAAGGCAGCTCTCGCTGCAACGTGCGGATCTGGACAATCGCATCCTCGTGAGCGCCTTGGTCTACGAGTCGACACGTGGCTCTCTGAGCAGTCACCAGAGGAGTCCTGGGAGTCCTGTCGTCAACCAACGCTCGGGCGAGACGACGCGGGCGAGACGGGCGCGTATGTACTGCTGCGTGGCGTCAGTCAAACACACTCCGTGGACGGCGTCGAGCCATGTTCGCTCCGTGAGAGTTAGCATGTTGTGGGCTTTGAGGTCCCAAATCGTGCAAGTTAGATGGGACTTGAGTTCTAACACGATCTAACATGATCTAACTATACTTGGATGAAATACGTTGATTTCTGGAAGACATCTGAAGACACTTGGTGACGGGTAGTGGGGTAGTCCATGTGTGTTTGGTTGTTTTTTCTGTTTCCAAGCGTCTCCTGCACCAACTGCTTGCTTCACGGCACCTACCGGAAACGCCCTGTGAAACCCACGCCACATCTCGTGTCTCCAAGACCCGGTCAGGCGCTCCATCCAACGGGGCGGTGCAGGTCGCTTTGGAACACTTCCTGAAGACCGAGGACCGAGGACCGATCCGAAGGACCTCTTTCGACCGATCCGGGTTTTTTCTGCGAAGAGAGAAGACCTCCGGAGTCTTGACACTCGATGTGTATGAGAGATGTGTTACTTTCATGCATATGTACCCACCTTGAAGTATATATACTATGTAACATATTTATTGATCAACACCTCCGCAATGTAGGCAAAGATGCCAGTCCAGAGTGTTTGAGATCTCTGAGATCTCAGCGACGAAGCGGTGGGAGATGTTTCAATCCCCTAAAGCTCTCGCAGCTACGACTTCACTTGTCTTGCTAAAAATTCATCAAGGGGGCCAAGACAAGCGACCATCCAGGAGCAAAAGACGTCACCATGTAGGTGGGTCCAAACTCGCCCAACGATTTCCATGAACACCCATGGCCTAGTGGTTTCCATTCATAGGCCACTTCCAACACGTCGTCTCATGTGGTCTCCGAAATGTTCGTCGCACCGAACCCCCCTTGACCGACCCCTTTGTTTCGTGTCCTCAACCTCTCAGGAAGCCCAGCGGACCTCCCTGTGTTTGGCTGGCGTGGACGAGCGCGTGCCTTCCGAGGGGCCCTTGCGGGCAGCCTTCATCCACACCCGGATGCAGCGGCCCGGTTGCAGCGGCCCGCTCGGACCGGACCAGATGAACCCTTGAGGGGACGTCCTACAGACCTACAGAGGTAGCCAGTGACCGGGACCATAGGACCCGGAAAACCAGGGGTACCTATAGGATAGTCTAGTTCGGGTTCTTCAACCTCTGCTGGGATACCATGGTGGAGACTGTTCTTGGAATGTATTAAAGACTCTCCTCCAGGTCAATGTCAGTCCATGGAACCAATCGTGGGAACCATGGTGACCACTGTGGTGATTGTGGTTGCAACCTAGTGTTTTTTAACTGTCGTTGTGATCAACAGCTGACCTTTTTCTAAATACCAAGACTATTGTGATTTGCGGTAACTTTATCCGGTTGAGATCACATTGCTTGACGAACAAACAGACAAGACTCAATGGAAAGACGCCACGACAGCATTGCCCAGGTGAACAATGTATTGGAGCACCCCCCTTTCTTTCATGTGACTCCAATTGAAATGGGTGTGTGTATTTTCACGGGAGACCTCTCAGGCGTTCCGACCCCTGGAAGAAGAGACATAGACCAACTCACTCAGGGCCACACCTTGGGCCATACCTTTTCTCAGAGCTAACCCGCTCCACGAGGAGACATGACTCACAGGACCAAAGCCTTGGACGAATTGGGTGACTTCCTATAGGAGTAATATATCCTTATATGATGTGAGCCTAGATGACCTTGGACCTTACTCATATTAACTTTGTTTTTGTGACTCAAAGGATTGTTGCAAGTTGCAAGGGTGTGTCTCAAACTTGCGGATGGCAGACTGTGACCGGCTTCATTGTTCGAGAGACTTTCCATAGGGCCTACACTATGTTGCAGCACTTGTGTAGCAGGTTTATGAGTGTGGACTGCGGATATCCTTTTCAGTAGGAACAATGTTGCAAACGTTGCTATCCCATTTCAAAAGAAACATCTTCAAATCATAGCTGGAACCCACCAAGGTGTTGACTCATATCAGTTCAGCGTATGTCTCCAACAAAACCGTCGCCGGAACCGGATGTTCCAAGATCTTCTTGATAGATTCATGGATTTCATAGATACCAGCGCCGGCGCACAGAAGAAGTATTAGAGCCTGCCTAAAAAAGACAGGGTGATGTTTGAAATGAGGTTCAAAAGCAGTACTTGGCTTTGGCACCCCTGTTGTCAACTGAGATTCGCTCATAAGAAAAGCAACCAGTTCCAGTCACAGTTGAATCTGCCTGCCACCACCAGATAGCTAGATAGCAAGCTTCCTGCCGTGCTAAGGTACACCTTAGCCTTGCTGCTGAAGTGTGAGAAGGACCCGACTGCCCTACCGGAAGCCGTTCAGGTGCGCATCGCGGGGGTTCAAAGATCCATTCGTGTTCGTAGCGGCTAGAGCTGTGAGCGACCCACCCACTCGAATCTGCCCAATGACGATACTGCCGACGATGAACATATAGCAATGAGATGAGATGTAACAAGTACATCAAACATGTTTGCTATATAATTATGTGTTAAACAATTTTGTTTCTTTCCTTGGTGCCCGAGGATGATCCTCTATATACACCGGGTTAAAAGTGGTTGGCGCAACTCAGGGGGTAGCCGGCATAGCCATAGATGGCTCAACACCACATGTCAATTTAATCATCTTTGAGCTAGACATCATGCAAAGTGCACATGAAAAATCACGAGATCGAAGGCTGCACCTTGACAACAACAAAAGTTTGTAGATTCTGTAGATGGCGCATTCCACTTCCACCCATCCCAAAGCTCTTTCTTCCCCATCCATAAAGAATAGAACGTGGCAAGCAAACACAAGGACTGCTCAGGAATCTGGACATTGAAGGAGCGTCCCAGCAACGCTAAATGGTGCAGGACATCCCAAATATTGGTGAGATTTGCTGAATTGAAACCTACTGTATGCATTGATTGGCATTGCGCCATCTGTGGTTCTGACATCAGAATGCCTCCAAAGGCCAGGTTTGGGCCAAAAACAAGGTGTTTTTCTGACTGGTAGATGGTGCAACTTTGATTTCCTTTTGATTCCTTTTGCTTTCCTTTTGATTCCTTTTGATGTCCTTTGATTCCTTTTGATGTCCTTTTGACTTCCTTTGTTGATTTCCTTTTGGTTCCTTTTGATTTCCTTTTGGTTTCCTTATGATTCCTTTTGATTTCCTTTTGATGTCCTTTTGATCCCTTCGATTTCCTTTTGACTTCCTTTTGAATCCTGTCGACGTCCTTTTGATTTCCTTCTGATTCCTTTTGATTTCCACACGCCGGAATGCCCCCCGGTACCTAAACCATCATTGATTGGCATTGCGCCATTTGTGGTTCTGACACAAGGCCCCCCACGCGCAAACAAAAGGGCGAGGTTTTGGGCCAAACATTTGGCAGCCTTGCAGGTGTTTGAGACTTGCAGATGGCGCAACTATTTGTTGCCCCCTGGAGTTTGATGATGAAGCAACAAAAAAGACAAGCCATCAATTTTTACCCCGGAGTATATATATATATGTGTATTAGAAGGATGATGTTATGAAATATGCTACTTGAGCCCCAGCTAAAATGGACATATTTATATACATAACCATTATTGATCAGATGTAGCACCAGTTACATGTACATGACATAGCTTGTATAGATGTATGTTTCACTGCAGCCGTTTGGGTTTACTTTTGTGTTCATTTCGCTACCAGAGCTCAGTCAAGCGTGAGCTAAAAGTGTGCCTAAGCTTCAACCACAACCTTTGGGACAGTGACTTGGGGTCACAGAGTTTAAGAGCCTAAATTCTCCGTTCATGGTAGCGGAGCCGCGGTTCTAAGACCCGGCTACCGTCTGCGAATCAAAGGTTGCCGAGCCGCATCGGTTCTGGCACCGGAGATCCACAAACAAGCATCACTTGCAGGAAAGCCGGATTGCTTCAATCCCTGGCTAGCAAGTCAACATGGCGCAACAGCCAGGAGCACAGGCACAACAAGCCACAGACATGGCACAGCAATTTGCACAGATGATGCAAGCCCTAGGACAGGGGCAGAGCCAATTGCAGCGAGCAATGGCAGAAGCATACACACAACAAACGGCAATCACAAGGAACATAGCCACCAGCGTAGAAGTAAGAGACAGATCAGAATTGAAAGGCATTCCAAAGCCTGACAAGTTTAGTGGACACACAGGTACCTGGGACTCATGGTACTTCAAGTTCAAGACTTGGATTGAGACAAGTCACAAGAATGCAGGAAAGTGCATTCAGCTCCTCGAAGAGCATCAAGACACAGAGATCAATGAGACATCTCTGGAAGATGATTATCCTGAAGGAGCCGAGCTTGTTTCAGCTCAGGCCCGACAGGCTCTGATCTCATTGTGTGAGGGAGAAGCCCTCGAGATTGTCAAGAACACCTCCAGAGGTCAGCACTTTGGCCTAGAGGCTTTGAGACGATTGATCACTAAGTATGATCCACAGAACCCACAAGCAAACTCAGCTTTGCTGAAGAAGGTCCTGCACCCACAACAGTGTGCATTGGACAAGCTCAGAGAGAGCATAGAAGCCTGGGAAAACATCAGGCGAAAGTATGAAGAGCGAAAGAAGAAAGCTCTTGATGATGACATCGCAAGAAGTTGTCTTCAGCAGATGTGTCCATCCAAACTTCAAGATCACCTTGACCTCCAGAGTTCAAGACTCACTGACTATGCCATCATGAAGTCAGAGATTTTGGCCTACCTCGAGAACATCGAGAGTCGAAGAGAAGCAAAGACTGGATCAGCACCAATGGATGTTGATGCACTAGCCGCAGCTGCCAGCCAGATGCAATCTTCACTTGCAAGTCTGGCCAAAGCCAAAGGAAAGGGCAAAGGTGGCTCAAAAGGCGGCAAAGGAAAAGGAAAGAGTCAAGATGGAGGCAAGGGAAATGACAAAGGTAAACAGAAGGGAAAAGGTTCTTCATGGTCCAACTTCTTTTCATGGAACCCCTCATGGAACAAGAATGATGGGTATAGGAACGATTGGAACAGGAGTAGTTGGTACAACCAAAACTCCAAGGGTAAAGGCAAAGGTGGCAAAGGCAAGGACTCTAAAGGTAAAGGCAAGAGTAAGAGTAAGAAGGTAGCATCAGTTGAGGAATCTGAAACCTCTATGGCTCAAGAGCATCAACCCGAGCCTGAGTATTCCGCTGACATCGCCACCCTCTTTGCCATCGAGATGGAGAAAGCAGCACCTGCCGCAATTTCTCGTGGAGCAGCCAAGGCAAAAGCTGAGACTGAAGTCAAAGCTATGCCAAAGAAGCCAGGAGCTGCAAAAGGTCGTCCTGGAATTGCAGCTGCTGGGATTGCAGTCATGAACCAAGCAATCCAAGAAACCATGCAGTCCAACCGCGAACTGTATGAGAAGAAGTCTGAGACGATCCAGAAGGCCATTGAAGAGGCCGAGGCTCAGGGCAAAGCAGCCAATGACGCCATCTTGGAGCAACAAGCCGAAATGAGAAGGCTGAAAGAACAGTATGAAGAAAAGGAGAAAGAAGCAAAGATTTTGCTGAAGAGGCCAACTCCTCGCCGCACCGCTTCGCTTCCGGCGGAGTCGCCAAGGCTCTCAGCTGATTTGGCATCAGGCATGGACCCAAGATTGGCCAAGAAGAAGGAGAAAAGCCGTCAGCGCGCCGAGCAGCATCGCGTTGAGAAGGCCCAGGAAACGTGGCGCGACTATGAGGCCAACTACCCTGAGGAGCTCGACTACTATGAGATCGCTCGTGCCAAGGGTACTGGTCGACTTCAAGCGTGGGATGATGAAGATGATGAGGGGAAGTTCGATGAAGCCCCTCAACCTCGAGGTCGAGAAAGGGCCCAGAGGCATCGTGGCTACAAGAAGCCAGGAAAGGCAAAGAAGCCTGAAAAGCCAAAAGAGAAGGAGCCCAAGATTGAAGATCTCTCCACTCAAGAGTTGGCAGAGATGAAGCGGGAAAGCCAAACATGGACGGCTACTAGCCATCCAGTCCGCAGTGTCATCGACAAGGCGCTCACTGCTGCTGGGTTCAACCCAGAAGACTATATGTTGTGATGAAGAGCATCGAAAGCCAAGGTGAAGGAGCAACAAGTGCACCATCCTTCGCAGCCCCAGTCATGGAGAACATCAATCCCCTTGATGTGACTGAAATCGAGGGACTTGAAGAAGAAGAAGAGTTTGAAGATGAAGTTGAAGATGATGAGAATGGCACTGAGCCAGCTGACGATGAGTCAGATGGACAAGAAGAAGAAAAGGAGCCAGAGAAAGACACCGTGCCATGGCTCGATCATATGTTTCAAGAGCGAATTCTCAGCTATGATGAATGGGTAGCCAAATGCACCCACAAGAACAGAGATGGCAGCAAGAACATGGTCTGCCGTGCGTGCAACAAGGCCCTGAAGTGTGACAATGACACTGGCCTATGGAACCATCATATGGCTTTGAATTGCTGCCCACCAAAAGTCCTCAATCAGTGGGCAAAGGAATGGACGATCAAGCAGAAAGAGATGGGAAAGCGCATCAAGACTGCCAAGGGACAGCAAGGCAGCCCAACTTCAAAGGATGCGCCAAAGCATGTGAAGGACGCCAATATGGATCTGAAGCCTGAAGATGTGGCAAGGCATTTGAAGATGGAAGATCCAAAGCTTGAGACTGTCAAGAAAGAACCTCCTTTTTACATGACTGCCCATATGCAGAAGATGATGGAAGAGCAGGAGGAGGAAGATGATTTTGGCCCAAAGACGCCAAAGCAGAGGCGCATTGCCAAGACACCTCCACCAGGGCAAAACCAAGGAGGAGCGCGTGGCCTGGTTCAAGAGCTCGACTGAAGAGCCAAGGCAAACGCTTCGACTGAAGTCCCGGTCTCGATCCCCGGGCAAGAGCCGAGCCGCTTCGGCTCCGGCTGCCTCCGAGAAGGGCCATCAGAAGGGCCAAGAGAAGGGCAAGCAGAAGAAAGTGCAGTTGACTCGAGCAGTCAACGTGGCCACTCAGGAAGCTGCCCGCGAGGCCAAGAAGGGAAAGGGAAAGCGATATCCCACTCCCTCAAGTGAGCCTGAGGAAGGTGAGGAAGACCCATTGGCTCTCAAGAGTTTGGAGCTGGCATCCATGGAGACGCCAATGGCTCATCAGGTGACCTTGGATTCAGGAGCCGCTACGTCCTGCATCCCTGTCGAACTCGCCGCAGCACTGGGCTACAAGCCTATCCAGCCTGAAGGCACCAGCAAGGTCTACAAGACCGCCTCAGGCGAGATCGTGAAGGATCTCGGCAAAGTCGACGCCAAGGTGACGATTGGCATCGGCAAGGAAGCCCTGAAGGGACGCTGCAGTTTTCGAGTGATGGCTGTCTCCAAGCCGTTACT